AGCCAGCACCGAGTGTGAGATGTGACAAGCTTTTCTTCAGTGGCCTGCTACTGGTTGGAGTGTAGCTTGCTTTGGTAAGTCTAACACAGCTATCAATGAAAAGTATGTGACAGCTCTGACAAAAACACACATACAGTACACTTGACATAAAAGTTATTAAAGAATATAATGAAATACAGAGTACTGCAAATCAGTGTGCTGTAAAGGTGAAATTTGAATACTGTGTACTTTGATAAAGAATTAATTAAGTCTTAAAACAGGGCATTTTTGATTTTTAAAATACAGAAGAAGATGGGAGCCCACTTTGTGGAAAGCACATTTTTCTGGGTGTTTAACCATGTACAAAAAAACACATAGTACAGTAGGGTCTCGATATTTGTGAGCAGGGAACTGTTTCAAATAGCCACATTCACATGTAATGAAGTTAACCCCTACGCCTTTGCCCAATGTACTAGACTATATGATATGTACTGTATGGTTATAAGATATAAGTAACCCTCCCTTATATGATAATTAGAGTGCCAATGCTTTGGCTGCATTGACTTTAAGTAAATTAAAAATAACATTAACCAGCTAAAAACAACATTAACCAGCTAAAAAAACCAATAGTAATCACGAACATAATAGTAAAAGTAATCAGCTAAAATATACATGAACCCTCCTCTGCATCCAGAGGATGCCTGCACTTTCTCCGCCTTCGGGATTAGCACCATCCCACAGTAATGAAACGGGCAATAAAACGGGTCAGAGAGCCTGCAAAGTCTTCTGCAGCCTGTCCTTCCCCACGCTGCTGACACAGAACCTGGAGCGTTCGCTAAGATAAGATAAGATCACTTTATTGGCCATGTACAATTCCTTGTATTAGGAATTTGTCTTTTCGCATACCCTAGCTTGCTCTCCATGAGACACACAGACACGGAGAGAGAAGCTGGGCGTCAGAGTGCAGGGTCAGTCATTTATACAGTGGCCCTGGAGGAGCTGGGGTTAAGGGGCCTTGCTCAGGGGCCCAATGGAGTAGGACTCTCCTGCTGGCTGTGGGATTTGAACCAGCAACCTTCTAGCCACAGGCACTGAGCCTTAGCCACAGTGCCACCGCTCCGCCCTAATACATAGAAACAATCTAGACACACGACCAGGCTTAGATGCAGATGCTGGGGAGTGGTAGTGGGTCCCTCGCCAGCTGGATTCATCTCACCATCTTTGTCTGTTGCCCCATCAGCCAGACCGAGTCACAGATAAGCAGGTTTGCGAATGTTAAATTTGCCGGAGTTGAGGCCACGCTGTGTGTCCTTTTGCCCGGGGGGCACACATCATTAACAATTATTAATGGTATTTAATATATTAATATACAGTTGTTTTATATTGTATTATGATGTTAAATGGAGTTTATAACGAATGTTCAGGAGGGGTGACAACACCCAAGTTCAATCAGACTCAGCCATCAGTAATTAGCAATCACTCCCAGCGTCTTTTCCTCTCCTAAAAGACTATAAATACCTGCGTGATCCCCATCTCTCCCTCGCGTATGTCTTTTGCAACCCACCTACACCCCATCTCCACCTCTGCAGCTGCCCCTTGGTCACCCTGCATGGGGGTCCCGGCCTCCTCTCCTCTGGCCAGGAGGGCAGCCCTCAGCCAAGCAGGTTAAGCCAAATTGTCGGTCCATAATCCTTTCATGACCCTTTATTCTTGAGTGTTGTCATTCTTAGTGAATAAATATGATCATGTTGTGATGACTAATTGTTGATAGTTACTAATAATTCAAATAGCGGATGGTTAATTCAATCTTCAATGGCGTCAGTTAACCATTGCTTCCATGTGAAAGGCCTCTGACAGAAGAAAACTACCATCCATATGACAGTTGTCGAGCTCCTTGTTTCTGCTTGTACTCTTCAGGCATCAACTCCCACTTTGGTCAGAGCAGAGCTGAGTGATTTGACAGAATGTATTAGATCAGGACACTGCAAAAAGCTATTCACAATGCTCGGACAGACAGCTGGCTCTCAGTGGGATCTGCTATCTTCCACCACTGGCAGAATTGGTTTTTCTGTCCAAGCAGCAAATATTAAGATTAAAACAAGGTAGAAGAACAGTAAATTACTGCACTCTGCATTTGCCAAGAAGTGGTGAGAGATCCAAGGATCACAGAAGTTATTTTCTCCTCTTTCGTTTTTTAAGGTCAAGGTGGGATAGTCAACCACAAAGTAT